ATCTCCTTTTAGAACTTCTTTTTGGCTTTTGAAGCAATTGCTAGGGTTTTGGATTTTCGCTACTTTCAGGTGTTTTCATTCTTACTCATTCTAATGATATTTTCTTGGATTTCAATTATGATTATGTGTAACTAATTCCTTTTGCTAGCGCGAGGCCGTAAGCCTTAGCATGAATATGTAGTTTTATTAATTTGCTTATGAATGGATGTATGTTTACTTTGAATTATTAATCACTGTGTTTAAAACTATCTATCTATTTTAATGACTGATCACCATTAAGATATGTAGACAAGTAATTTGATGCAATTTCTGTTGGAACATCACCCTGAAATTGAGGAGGGCTTCTTGTGATTAGTAATTGTAAGTTCACTTAAGGCGAACATCACGCTCTTAAGGGTTGCATGGTTTTTCAAAGGGTTTTCACAAAGCTTAATGAGTCTTGCATGTTTAGATTTGATCTGAACATCACAGACGGATTGCATGTTAGATATACGTTTTCGCTTGAACATCACAAGGAAAATATGCATTAGGAAAACCTAACCTTCAAAGCATATATGTGGAAATTCATAAGTAATTGATAGAATTGCATAGGATTGCGATGGTGTTGGCTAAACCCTAGTTTTCTCTAAATTGCTAGTCTTTAAAAAGAAATCGTTTTTCTTCTTTGCTGTTATTATTTCCCAACTTTCAGATTTCTTTTACTGTTAATTTAATCTTTTCAAATTCATAAACTTCAAATCTTTGATAAAATCTATTTTAGTTATTAATTAAGAGTTAGTTTAATTACAGATTAGTCAAACAATCTTTGGGGACAACGACCTTGGATGAGCATTTATACTACAATTACCTTGTATTCTTGCAAGTATTTTCAGTAATTTTAACCCTGTTTGTGCAGGTACTAAAAATCCTATCAGATTGCACAGGGCTAATTGATCTCCATGAATCCATTGGAAACCTAGAGCAACTAATGTACTTGAATAGGAGGGATTGCAAAAATCTTAGGATGCTTCCTAAGAGCATCCTTATGCTAAATTTTCTTGAGACACTTATTATTTCTGGTTGCTGGGGTCTTAATGAGTTATCAGTTACGATGACAAGGAACATGGAATCTCTTAAAGTGCTTGAAACAGATGGAATTCCAAT